TAAGAGGAAGGAAAGCAATAAAAAGAAAATCCGAGCCCTATTCTGGAAACGTGGGTGGGGAAGCAAGGTTGGTTTTAGAAAACTAGTATTACAGGAAAGTCTATCCTTGGCTAAACATATTATTAGTCATATATGTCACCACTGCAAACTCCTGACTGTGGACCTGAGACGAAACATAATGTTAAGTGAAATAAATCAGACACACAAGCTTAATATTAGTTTCTCTTCTATGAGAAACCCAAATTATAAATAAGGAGCACAATAAAAGATGAGAGGAAGTAAGGGGACAGATCTTTCTGAAATAGGAAGAGGATCAAGAGATGGAGGGACGTGGGAGAAAGGGAAGGAAAGGGGACGGAAAAAGGAATTAAGATGTGTTGTGTGTACTTGCAGCAGCTCCAAACAAGCGATAGAAACGTGTGCTGCAACCATGTACTAATTTAAAAAATAAAATCAAGGGAAAAATGCAATCTTTTCATGCCTAAAACAAACAAATAAGATGAAGACACAGTGGTGTGTATTTAAAATACACAGAAACCTGACTTCCCCAGGTTCCTGTTGTAAAAGGTTTGTGCACACATTTCGGAGATCTCTTCCAGTTCTTCTGGCCTCTGTGCTTTCTCTCCACGCCAACTAACTAGGCCCACTACTAAAATCTTTGCTCACAGAGGCCTTTGAGAAACAGGATCTTCCCTCTCCTGAACACCCACAATACTTGAGCACATTTCAGGGGCCTCACGGGTCCCTGGGAAACCACTGTTGCAAATCTGCACCACCCTCATCTGGTTTACAACCCCACACTGCCTACCAAACACATCTCACAATCAACAGGCTGCTATTCAAAACTCTCCCCACCATGTGTGTTACCTACTCTTCCAAATGTTGCTCCTGAAATTCATTTATTTAGCTTATAGGAACTAAACACGAAAAAATCAGACATTGTATATGTGTTGATATACATACGTAAATATACAACAGAAAGCAGCACATTGCAAACAGAAAGGCAGCAAAGTCTTTATTATAGGCAAGACTTTCTGTTGAAGAGTTTGCAGTCTAGAGAGAAAGGTGAGACAGATAAATAAGCCATGAAACAAAATTTCAAAGTAGCCCTGGCCGCGCCAGACACTGTTGCCTGACTCCCCACCATCATTTTCTCTTCATTCCTTGCTGTCCCAAACTGATTTTGTTCCGTTGTTCCATTTCCCCCGGCATCACTGACTTCATGCCCATGTTTAGAGGGGAAACGAGCAGGAGAGAATACCTGCTCTGGGGCTGCAGTGCCTGCGCTGTGACTGAAGGTCTAAGCTTGCGAAGTCGGAGAGCAAAGGGCAGTCACTGCCCTCTGGGCTTCTTAATGAAACAATGAATCCCTTAGCACTTCCGCTACTCTGAGGTGCGCTTTCTGGTTCTTGAGTTGAAAGCATCCTGACTGTTGCAGGTAATTTAAAACAGGTATGAGTCATGCTTCAGGAATTAGGAAAGCATAGACTTCCATGTTACACATGTACAGGAGTATATTTACACGTGTGTATAAGAATCTATATATCTGCTTCTATACATATTGTATATTTTGAGTCATGTAACTTCTGCTAGTAGGGAGTAGTGACACTTTGGGAAAGTTATTTTTATGAGCTTTGTCATTCTCATCTATAAAATGGTATGGTACTCCTTCGTATGTTTCCATGCGGATTAAATGAGCGTGTATATCACGTTCTTGGTACAATACCTCACAAATGATAGGTACTCAGTCTATGATTTCTGTTGATACTATTTTTATATGCAAATCAGGAATATTTATTGAGTACCTACGCGGTGTTAGATCCTCTCCTAGGCATTAGTTATAATGGTGAAAGAAAGTCCAACATGAACTGTGCTCTCATGGAGGTACAATTTGATCAGTGATGACACACATAAAGTATAATTGGGAACCGAGATGAGTACATAAAGTAAAGGTACGCAGTACCATCAATTACGTAGGAGGTGGACCGGCTTTGCTGGGGTCAGGAAAGTCTCCACTGGAGAGTGGTGTTTGAGCTTGGGAACAGGGATGTAGGCAGCAATTCATCACTCTGCTTTACACAGAACAAATGGGAAGCAAAGCAGTACGATTATGTGTTACTGGATGATAGGCTTCTAAGTACAGGGACTACATTCAGATAACTACCAAGTTATTCTCCTTTCCGTGTCCAGCACAGTGGCAGTCACAAAACAGGCACACGTAAGTGCTGTGGACTGAGTGAACTGCTCTGACTGTCACTGTTCTGTGACAGAGCTGGGGGGAGCAATATAAAAGGCCTCCTCTGAGGAGATAAGGATCCAAAGCACCTGAACATGTAAAAAGGATTCAATAATTGTAGCTGTTATTATTACTGCTATTGGTATTACCTTATAATTTGCACATATTATCTCATACTACATTATAAGACTTGGGGTGGCAAGAAATGTATCTTATTTAACTTCAAATATCCACAGGTCATTAGCACAATATCTTGCATACCATAAATTCTCTAAAAATTCAGAGAATAATTGACATTTTAAATTAGGAGTTCAGTTGAGAACTTAAAGGAATTATATATCCCTTCTTGGTAAAGGATTAGAATCCATAACCTCACTGAAATCGGGTTTGACATATAATTTGCTTTGGCCAACTAAACATGACAAAAGGCATTTTGGGTTACCCCCGGGACAATCTTTAAGAAACTGTTCACCGTATTCCCTTTCTCTGTCTCGGACAGGAAGACTGTCATTATTCCAGAAAGGACTGCTGCGGTCCGCAGTGTGGTCCCAGAGTAGGGAAGAGGAGATTCAGGCAGCCAGTGACAAGATATGTGAGAAATAAACAGGTCATCACATGGCAAAGAGAAAGAGAAAAAGGAAAATGCGTGCCCTGAAAAAAATAAATTATCAATGTCAGGCTATTCTCTGTAGGAAATATTCAATGATGTTTCTAGAATATAGATAAGATATAGAAGAAAAACCTGTAGAAATGGTTGTGTAGATGACCCAGAGTCCTACGTGTGCGGAAAACAAAAACTGCAGGACACTGGTGCAGGTAATCAGAAGTGTGGCGCTGTAATGCCAGCTCCCCAGACACCACCCCTCTATAGTAATCAATACCTATCCCATGCTCCTGTTTGAATTCTCTGTGTGCCACTTACAGCCATCTAATACTTTTCCCTGTCAGCCAACAGACTGATATCTACAACTATAACAGGAGACTGAAAGTATAAACACAAATCTTCAAGGAGTAGGATACAGACTTGGCAAGGGTTTGAGGACCCAGCATGGTGATCAGAAGAATTTATATTGAAATAGTTTGTTTCTTTTTAAAAAATAGGCTAAATGCACCGGGCGTGGTGTTCGCACCTGTAATCCCAGCACTTGGGAGGCTGAGGCAGGAGGATCGCTGTGAGTTCCAGACCAGCCTGGGCTACATAGTGAGTTCCAGTCTCAACTACCTAGTGAGACCCTGTCTCAAAAAAAAAAAAAAAAAAAAAAAA